GCTGAAAGAGCATCAGAGTTTATCATTTAAAAACCACTTTTATATGGATGATACCAAATAAAGAATAGGGACGCAGAGAGACTACGTGACTCCAAGATCATGCAGCTAGCCTTAGGCAGAGTGGGAAAAGGAACTCAAGTCTCCCAATATTCCCTCTGCTCCTTCACTGCCACCATCCTGTCTCCCTGGTCTCTCCCCTGAAGCCACCTATTCTGACCAGAGGTTTGTGAAGTTCATCCACTGGTCTGAATTTGAATTCTCCCTCTCTCTGCACATCACATCCCCCTCAGCTTACTGCAGGAATTTTCCACACTCAAACATCAAGAGATGCCTCATTCAAGACAAAGTTGATGGGGGAAATAGAAACCTCTGATGGGAGAGGGGATGTAAAACCCAGGGAGGAGAGATTCCCTTTGCCAGGGTTGGAAATAAAGGAGGAAGGGTCGATCCAGGGAGGAAGGAACTAAAAACCATTCCCACCGACGCCTCAGAGAAATGATGCTCCTTTTTCTCCAGAGGTCCAAGAAGCCGCAGTTTACCCCGCAGTCTTCATGGCAGCTCCACAGCCATGTGCAGAGAAAGGAGGACAGCAGCACAGTTTTCAAAACTGGTAAAGAGCCACAGAAGATCATTCCATGGGGCATATACAAAATGAGGACAAAAGGTAGAATAAATCAATGAGGCAACCGGTCCGGTCCTTTGGCTTCTTTCTCCTGTGCATTTGATCTCCCCAGGACTGTCCAAAAATCTGAGTGTGTCACAAACACATACGCAGATCATACATATATACCATTCCATTACCTAGATACACACACTCACATACACAAATACATCATCTCATTCACACGTAGGACAGTTTCAGGTATTCAGGTAAGTACATATTTATTATCATACATACTGTTTATAAACATAAAAAGAGACATCAGTATGGAGCTCTGACTTCACCAACTGTCCTTGTCACACACATCAGCCTTTATCTAGATACCCCAGATACATACGTATACATGTCAGGCATTCACAGTTTCATTCTGATACATCTTGTTCACATATCCAGATTGTTTCTGTAACTCCTTCAGTTCCAGGCTCTGTTCGGAGGTTCTCAAATCCCATCACTTTTGAGCATCACCCTCTAAAAACAATAACAAAAACGACCTCTCCTTTTCTCCAATTCCCATGCCTACTCCCCTCCCCCACTGCACACAACAACAGAATCAGAGACAGAACTGGGCTCTGTGACATATGCAGGTATATCCATTCATTCGTTTGTTCATTCCTTTAAGAGCAGTTATTGAGTGCCTATTATGTTCCAGTACCACACTAGATTCCGTTGCAACAAAGATGGGCACAAATAATCCCCAACTGCGTCCTTGCTCCAGCTCCCCAGAAATGACCTTGAACTGCAGCTTAGGACATTGAGTCTAAATCACGGAAGCCTGAGCAGGCACCATGTGGAGAAAGGAAAAGAGAAAAGGATTGTTTTATACTATCCCAAGGAAGAGGGAAGTTTTGTCTGTAAAATTTCAGAGGAAACTGGAGCAAAGAGAAGAGAATGAGGCTTGTCCTATCCTGGGAGAGAGAAAGAATTCATATATATGCTTGTACTGTGTATAACCCCCCTCCAAAGTAAGCGATGAAGCAGAAACCAGAATGGTTGAATTTTACCACTTGGGTGGGTATCATAAAACAAGGCGCAGGGGGCCTCTCCTACTCTCCACTCTCTTTGATGGAGTTGAACCATATGACAAGCTCCATAGAATCAGGGACTGGGTCCATTTTGCCCACCACCATATCCCCAGCATCCGGCACATCACCTGCCCCACAGGAGGCACTCAATTAAGAGTTGTTGAATGAATGAATGAGCTAAGGATGGCAAACCAATCTCCACTTGTAGTTTTTCTTGTTTTGCAAAAGACACCGAAAAACCTTTCCATTTCTGCTGGCCCTCCCCCACATTCCTCAAGGCTCTCTGGTCTCAGAGAAGAGTGGGCAGACTAGCCCAGTCTTTCATCTTAATGTTAGAGATGCTGAAATTTGTCCTGGTTCACCCATTATCCCTGAAGTGCCTGGCTCAGTGTCTCTCATGCCTCAGCTTACGAGTCTGCTTAGTTAGGAAAATTTCCCCTAGGTAGAGGTGAAATCCAACAGCTAATATGCTCCAGATTCTGAATTTATCTTTGGCAGAATGCTAGTATGGAAAACAGAATTCCTGGATGCCCTTCCCAAGAAGAAATTGCCCTGCACTATTATATTCATATGGGCTTTTTTAACCAGAAGAAAAAACACCAGGCCCAGTTTCCCTGAAGAGACCCTCAATGTCCCAGATTAGAAATTAAAAGGGTAGTTGGGATGGAGGAGATAGGACATGTTGAGCAGCAGAATATATATATCCCATCTGTCTTCATTTGACTCTGTGCGACCCCATGGACTGCAGTCCACCAGGCTCCTCTATCCATGGGATTCTCCAGGCAAGAATACTGGAGTGAGTTGTCATTCCCTTCTCCAGGGGATCTTCCCAAGCCAGGGATCTAACCTGGACTCTCCTGCACTGCAGGCAAATTCTTTACTGTCTGAGACACCAGGGAAGCCCATTCAATATCTAGTCCTGAGATAATCATGCCCATCTCCCTGTTTCCAGACTAAATAGCCCCTTCCAACCTGGGCCTTTTGGGTACAGGTGGTGAATGGGGTGGGAGTGGGAGTTCTATTTCTATTTAAGGTGGAAATGCCCTCTTTGCTCACTTCTTCAGAAACCACTCAACCCTGAGAGCTGTCTCCCTCTCCTACCCAGCAAAAATCCTCAATCCTTTGCTTTCCCTTCATCTGACTGGCAAAGCCTCCCCAGGATTCAAACAGGGCCAAATCCAGTAAGCTATCAACTTCAGATCTACCTTGGTATCAAGATCTTCCTCTGCTTTGAGACTGGGAATCTATCCTTGGTAATTCATATTGAGGAGATGGTACTTCTCTGGATAAGTTACGACATGTAGCTGGCGCTCTTAAGGACCAGATTGCTGAAGTGAGTGAAAACCAGAACAATCTCATCAATAAGATTAGTGATCCTTGTCCACCGTGCTCTCCTGCAAGGACGTCTCAGCTAACAGGCTCTGTAGGGGCAGCTGCCTCCACTCCCTTCCTCCCCTGGGTTTCAGTGCCTCCTTCCGAGGGTCCTGTTTTCTTGCCATAGACCACTTCTCACCCTAAAGGAAGAAATTGCAATCTGCTTCCAGAAAAGCTTTGTGGTTAGAAAGGTATGGGAGAGAGTGAAATGGGTAGACCCACCTCTTTTGCAGGGCCCCTTACCTGGAACGGAGGCAAGGGGAAAATATGATGAGCCACTCGTTCTGTGGGAAAGCATCCTAGGATGCTTGGATTCTCCTGTTTCTAGACCCTGAGGTCCCTTCTTTGCCTCTCAACCACTTCCTACCTACCCTTCTTGCCAGCTTAGTTACCATCAACAAAGCAAGGTTTTCTATCAAGAATCACCCGAGTGCTCCTCCCAACAAAAATTGATTCAACATGATTTTCCATTTCTTCATCCCAGAACCTCATTCCAAGGATTCATGGAGCCCGCAAATTGCACTGGCCAGAGACAGCAAAGGAGGGGACCAAGAAGTACATTTGGATTCCAAGCCTTGTTGCCCAATGTGCCTCCATTCTCCCTAAGGCCTTTCTAAGCAGCTGGTATGTAAATCAGACCCACCAGCCCAACATAAAGACATCATCTTATCGCCACAGGTGAAGTATTTTTAAAACAACACACTCATAAGCATCTATCCATATTCTATGCCCGTCTCTTCCTCTGCCGGAACATAGAAATGAAAAGCTTCAGTGCTCACAATGAGAATACTGGGGAGCAACTGCGTGTTGAGGCTGTGTTCCCTGTATTTCCTCACCAAACATCTGCAGCCTCTCTCCTAGGGCCATGGGGAGTCATAGCAGGGAGAGCAGCACTTTCTCTTGTTTTCTGGTTAAGGATCAACAGACTGCAGAGATTATCGGGTGGCAGCCGACAGAGAGATAAACATGGTACATGGCTTGTCTTTGAACCAATCCTCTTCTTTTCTGATAAGCAGGAAGAAAACTTCCTCTCCTTCCCTAGAACTGGAGTATGGGACACCTGAATCTTTCCCTTTCCCATTTATTCCTCTCCACATGCCCTCTTCCTGCAAAAATAAGAAAAGATGCCTAGATGTGCTTGGAGATCCTTGGGAGACCCTACAGTGACAAAAAGGCTTTGACAGTTACCTTGCCCCAGTCAACCAATCTCCCCTCACCACCACCCCAGCTCCCAGGTTGGGGCTCCATGCCCTCTCCCCCAGGACAGGGTTCCCCCCTTCTCTAGATTCTAGGTGGGTCCCCCATCATTAATATGCAGAGTGTGTTTCCAGGCCCCAAGAGAGATGAGCAGCTTAGGAATGGGGCAACCCCCCCCCCCAACTCCCACCCTCTGTAGGATGCAGGAGGCAAAAACCACCAATCCCAGCCGAGATACGTATGACCCACAGGTTGGCACAAGTATCCCTATGCACTGGACCTGCATCTGTGTGCAGTCACTCTACAGACCTCTCTGTGACCCTGGGACACTCATGCACACACATGTGATGTGTCTCACATCTACCTAACCCTGCACATGGATACGTGTGAGTCAGCCTGGCACCTCCTGAAAGCTGCCTGTCCGCAGGCAGCCCTGCCAACACCGCAAAGATTGTGCCGCCTCTCTGTGCCGCATGTGTCACCGGGGGGGGGGGGGGGGGGGGTCCGCAGGCACCTCGTTAGCTCTGCAACTCCTAAACCCGCTCCAAGCGGCCGGCTTGCTTTGCACATGCCTTGCACATGTGGCCTGGCCACGCGTATCCGGGCAGCTTATGTCCTCGCACCTGCCAACATGTGTGCCCCAGAGAATCCACCGGCCCGGCTCCAGCTACACCCCCCCCCCCCACTCCCACTTTCAGGCTCCCTGAGATCCCTTCCCCCAATCCCCCCCCGGCCCGGAGACTCACAGAGACCGGAGCTTAATCCACATCTTCTTGCTGGGGGCTGACTTCAGCTCCAGGGGTGAAGGGCAGTCCGACTCTAGCATCTCGGGAGGGCTGCGGGGGGACAGCTCCATGCTCAGCCTCCGTCTCTGGAACCGAGGGAGGAGACAGCACCGCGGCTCAGCCTCAGCCCCCAGCTGGCAGACCCGCGCCCCCAGCCCAGCCCCTTCCCACCTGCGGCTGGCAGGGACCAGCCAGGCCGGGGTCTCCAAGGCTCGGCCCAAGCTGGCAGAGCTGCAGTTCCTGCGGCTCCTCCTCTCCCGCTGCCCAGCCGAGCTCTGGGCTCCCAGTCCGAGCTCTCCGCGCCGCCGCCGCTCTCTGCCGGAGCCGCCTCCTCGCTTCTCTCCTCCTCCCCGGGCCGGCTTCCCCTCCCTCTCTCCCCCTCCCTTCTCCTCGGCCTGCCGGCTCGTCTCTCACTCCTCGCAGCCTCTCCTCCCCCTCCCGGAGGAACGCCTGGCAGCCGGGGGCACACGGAGACGGCAGCGCCCAAGGGCGAGCGCACGCACCCAGGCGCCGGGTGCGGGAGGCTGCGTGTGCCCCGCGCGGGTGGAGATGAGTGCGTGTTGACAGCGCAGCGCAGGCGGCGGGCGGCAGGACTTCGCTGTGGGCGGTGGTGTGGGATCCCTGGGAGTGTGTGTGGAGTTTCTGTGTATGTGCCGGTCCTTTCATGTATCCCCCGCGTGCCTAGTCGCCGGTGCGTCCCAGGCGTGAGGGAGAGGTCGGGGAGGAGTCCCGACACTCGCTGAGGGAAGCCGTCTAGCCCCAGCATCCAGCCCCAGACGGGACCCTCACACGTGTGCTCCTGCCTTTGAGCGGAGAAGTACAGTGTCTGCTGTCAGTGGCCGTGGTCATCCACTCCTCTCTCCAGTTCCCTCAGCTGGGCTTCCCGACGCTCCTCCAGCCTGTGGCCTTCCCTCTGGGGCCTCAGGCAGGTGGGAGTTGCTCCGAAGCCAAACGCTTTCCAGAGAGAATCGGGCCAGAGCAGGAAGCACCCTGTCTTGACTTGATTATAGGTAACTCCATAAGGGCCAGGAAATCATTCCTGTCTCATCTCAACCCCTGCATCTCAACCCCTTTCCTCTTATTCTATCTTCCCTGAAAGAAAGCCAATGGCTAAAGGCCCAACACAAAACAGTTTAGCTGCTTAAAACATCTGTAGAATGAATGCTCTGGAGTCTGAACTCAAGACCTGTAGCAGGGCGAAGCCTCTTCCATCAAAGTGAGTTCTACCTAGGACTCTGGCAGGAAGTTAGGATTCCTTTAAAGTCTCCTCCTTAGTGGCCACCTACTTTGGCATTGGTGGAAATCTTTTGTGAACCGAAAGTGGATGTGTATTCACTAACTAATCCATGACCCACTAATTAAAGAATGTGAGTTTTAATTTCAAGAACTCTGGAGGCTGGAAGGATGAGTGATGAGAAGGTGTGGACTCCATATCAAGTGGCAACTCCCTCCTTCCCAAGCAATTGAAGAGAAAGGAACAGAAATAAAGTGACAGGGTGAAGATTCTCAACATAGAAGGATTGCCTTTTAGGCAGTGAAGGTAGGTCAGGCCTTCAGATCTGACAGGACAGAGAAGTATCAGCAGAATCAGCTTCAAGGAAGTACAGAAGCTGAAGGTGACAGCAAGCCAGAGATGGAGACAAAATCAGAGAGAACGCTGGACTTCAGCAGCTCTGTCCATATAACTTTAGCACACACCGTTTCCTGTGCTGGCCAGTGGAACTGTCCTAGCCAAGACATGCGTGCCTCTGAGATGTGAACCAGATTCCTTCACAATTTGGTCCTAAATTTGAGGGCAATCACCTTCTTATCAACTGAGAAAGAATGGGTTGAAAAAGAATTGTGAAATAAAATTAAAGAGCTATAATTAGGAAATTAGGGTTAGAGCTAAGGAGTTTCCCAAATTGGGCAGATGTTTCAACCAGAAGAGGTGGGAGAGAGGCTTCCATTAAGAGAGGGATCTCTCAACGTTTCTTCTTTTTTCCCCTCAATGTTTCTTGTCAACACAGTGACATATTTCACCCCTGCCTTCCCAGGCCCCCAACTTCTAGCCCATTTTAAGAAAAGGAAAATTCAAACACACACACACACACACACACACACACACACACACACACACACAATTCATGAAATATACTTTAGAGTCCATCTAGTCTAATCCCATTTATTTAACAAATGGGAAAGAACTTCCTTGGTGGTCAAGTGGTTAAGAATCCACCTGACGATGAAGGGGACATAGGTCTGATCCCTGATCCAGAAAGATTCCACATGCCTCCTGACAACTAAGGCCACATGCCACAACTGCTGAAGCCCATTCATCTAGAGCCTGTGCTCCACAAGAGAAGCCACTGTGATGAGAAACTCGTGCACCACAACTAGCAAGTAGCCCTAGCTTGCGGCAACTAGAGAAGGGTCCACACATAGCGACGAAGACCCAGTGCAGAAATAAAATAAATAATTTTCTTTAAGTGGGAAAACTAAGTCTAGAAAAGTTATGCGGTCCCACAGAGATTAAGAGACTGATCACCTACACACAGAGAATAAGTAACAAAGCCAGGGCCAAGTCTCCTAACTCTTTTCCATTTTCCATTGTTGCTTTTTTTAACCACCAGTCCTGGCTTTTCATCTCAAGCTCATCCGTCTTGTTTTAATACAGTCTCATTTCTGCCTCACTCTACCCCTGGAGAGGTAAGAACAGGATATGTCTGTTCCCATTTATTGTCTCAAAAGACCACCGTTCTTCTCTCCCTGTCTTTCCCCTTGTTCCCAACCCCCAGCTTTCCCAGGCTTCTCCCAACCTCAGCCCTCTCTCTTCAGCTTCCAAATTGCCCCTGCCTCTTGGAGACCCTTCCTCCTCACTCCTCTAACCCCACAACCCCTTCCTACAATCTCTGAGTTTGATAGAGACAAAAAAAAAAAAAAAAACCCAGATGCTTTGGCAGCGGGTGAAGGCTGGATGTGATCTGCCTCCTACAGGAATGCTATTTAAAGGGGCGGCCTCACAATCCTCTCCCTCCAAAGTGACAAGAGAAAAGCCTGCTCCTCAATCTCTCCAGAGCTGCAAACTCAGCTCAAGTTAACTTCTGACTTCCTCAACCTGCACCCTGGCCTGCTGCTCCTTTTTCCTATTCAGGTGGGAGGGAGAGGACTTGACAACTGAGGTGTGGGGGCCGAGGGGGACTCATCTTCGTCTCCTTTGATGACAGGTACTTAGGAGGAGCAGGAGGCCCTGTGGGGCGGAGGACTGGAAGAACACTCTTCCCCCAACCATGTGAGTGACTTCAACCACGTGCCAGCTTCTTCTCAAAGTCAAACTTTGTTGGAAGAGAACTGATCTAGGCAAGAGAATCTAAGGTTCCCGAACTCTTGTCCCTAGCCGGGGCCTCCTTCCCCACCAAGTGTCCATGCTTAAACCACATGTGTTCTTTTCCTCCCTGGCCAGTGCCAAAGGGTGAGTTTCCCCTTGGCCAAGCCCAGGGATGTCCCTCCACCCCCACCCCCACCCCCTGCACATGAAGGCTACCCTCACCCACTCACCTGACTGAACAGCGTGGTGAGGGACAGGGGCTCCCCTGCAAGCATCTCACCCCCAGGTCTGGTGGGAGGGCTAATTCTATCTCATTGCCGCAAACAAGTTAATGGAGTTTTTAATGAAAACACTGCACTAATGAAAATGCTGAGGCTAGAACCTACTCTCTGACTGCAAGACAAAACAATCGGGGTCAGAATTTCTTTTTGATATTCATTCCGCAGTTCCTTTTAGGCCTGAAGTGAGCTGGGGATCTGAGTATAGAAAGTGGCTCATCATGGACTGCATCCCAGACTGTAAGAGGTCAGAGACCCTCCTGGCTGAGGAAGGAAACTGCCTAAAATGCCGATGGGTCCTGTTAACTCAGCTGTCCTTCACCACAGTCACCTTTTGTTAAGGTGGTCAAGGCCGCATGTCCTCACCCTCTTCTATTTTTCTCACTCTAGGGTCTCTGGATTCTAACAACTAAGTCTTCCCAGATGAAGAGGCAGTCGGGGCAGGTAGAAAACGTCTAGGGCTGAATGTCATCTTTGAGTCCTAGTTCCGAATGTACTGATAAGCATGTGACCTTCATTAAGTCATTTAACATCTCTGAATCTGCATTCTGGCCTGAAATAGGAAAGCCTTCCCTGGTTACCCTGCACAATTGTCTTAAGGTTGTGAGAGCACTTTGAAAAAGCATATGTGATAGAGAAGTGTGTGTGTGTAATGATATGTTTATAAAAAGACATTATGTCACATGACAAAATTTTATAAAAGGAGAACAGATTTGTGTTGCCAAGGGCTAGGGAAGGGAAAGGGGATTGTGGGTGGGACATAATGGAACGATATGAGGAAGGCCCTGTAGTGATAAAACCGTCCTATATCCTGACCATGGTGGCAGATGCCTGAACCTACACATGATAAAGCTGTACAGAAACTAAATACACACAGTGAAATGAGTATAAGTAAAACTGGAGAAATCTAAATAAGAGCAATGAATTATACCAATGTCAATATCCTGGCAATAGGGACAGGGGATAAATTTGGAGATTGGGGTTGATAAAGTGCTGTTAGCAACTGTGATTTTAAAAAATATATAAACATGAAAAAAAAGTCCTGGTTACAGTGGCATAGGACAGTTTTGCAAGATGCTTTCCTTGAGGAAAACTGGTAAAGGTACACAGGATCACCCAGTATTATTTCTCAATAAAAACTGTAATTTAAAAAAAGGTATTATATGTCTACTCTCTATTCCCCTGCAGCAACTTGTCTTGCTGTCCTCTGGGACGTTCCTCTTAAGCATTCCTCATGCATATGGAAAAGGGATCTCTTGGCTCCTCAAACAGAGGATCCCAGTAGAGATACAAGTGAGTGCAAGGGGAGCTGCTCAGATACTTCTGAGCTTTCTCTTCATCAACACTTCCCTCAGTCTCAGGAGGCCTGACCCCCGATCACTCCTTAGAACCTAACATTCTTTCCAGAGCGCGGAAGGACAATTAGCTGATGCATGGCGCAGGACCCTCCGATGCTTCTATCCTAAAGAGTAGACAATTGTTGCTAAGAAAAACTTGTGTATTAATTATGGGTACCAAGTTTAATAAGGATTGACTAAGCCTGGGTCTCAAGAAATAAAGATCAAACACACACATATCTAAAAACAGCTAACAAATAGCTTTAATGAACTCCGGATGGATTTGCTGAAAACGAAAAATTGCTTCCCTTTTATCCTGGAAGTATAGACATGACCCTA